GTATTTTATATTAAAAGGGTATGACATTAATTATTTAGGATATAATAATAACTCTACCCCTATCATTAAATTTGATGTAGTGTGAAAGGGAGTATTTGAACTGGTTTCAATCTAATTTTGATCCAGTTCAGGGATTTAAAAGGTAAAGTTATATAGTTTATAAGTGTGAACAAATGTGAACACACAGTGTGAACACAAAAAGGATTTTTTGGTTTTGCTTTAATATATCTTTAGATTTTAGGTGCTTATCCATTGCCATTATATTTCTGGCCAAAAATAGAATCCTTTGACAATTAATTGCTAATACTTAAAATTTATGTTTCAGAATTTCCAGATGAAGTGGACACTCCATTAGATGTTCCTGCTAGAAAGCGCTTTGCCAAGTTTAGGGGCCTCAAATCATACAGAACTTCCTCATGGGACCCCAAGGTAATGTAATCATGATATCTGTTCGAGTATTATATATATTTCTTGTCTTTGATTCCTTTGGTATTTGTAAAGGGCAAAAACATAATTTTTGGGAAAAAAGTTTCATAACCAAAAACCGAAAATAACATAATTGATTACTGCAAATAACCACTCTTTATAATTGGTCATGTAAGATGTGATAAGAACAAACTTGAACATGCCATGTGCAATATTTACAACCATCAAAATCAAACCATTGATTCCTTTGGTATTTGTAGAGGGCATTGAGCTATCTTTGAAATTATGATAGAACTTCTAGACTTCAAAGCAAAATACTGATTGTAACTAACCAGTTTTTATAGTCCAATAAGGGAGATTTGACATTAGAAGACATGAAGATACTATGTGCAAAATATATAGCAGTTGATGAAAAAATAAAAAACACACTAACACTTTCAGGTGTGGTATTTGTACCAGGATTTTCTTCCAAATCCAACCAACACTTATTTAACTAGCTCTTGAAACTGAACAACACAAAATGGATGGAAGTAATTATCCATGTGGGAAACTTCAACTCATAGCAGTTGTAAGTAATAGATCCAATGATTCCAATGATAAAACTAAACAACTTACGGTTTGTTTGCGGTCGTAATACCACTAGTACACATAGAAGAAAAACTGAGACGCACAACACAGCACTAAGGCCCTTCAAGGAATTCTCGTAAAATTTTGCAAAAAGAAGTGCTATAATAAAGAAGATGAAGTTTGATGTTGAATTTACCATGCAGCTGCTCCTTCCATGAAGAATTTTAAATTGACTCCAACTCTTTGAATGTGTTAACAGGCCAAGGCCAATAATCATCAATAACTGTGTTATGACTCCTCTTCTATCATATTTTGAACTTAACTCTGTATTCAGTAGAAAAAATATGGTGGAGAACAAGGCAAATTTATTGACCAGTTTGGCCTTTAGTTGACCCTTTGCTACTTTGTTGAGGAGATGCATCTCGAGGGCTTCCGATAGATTCTTCATCTTCTCAATAATAGGATCCAGCTGAGATCTCATTGTCAATTGGAAATACACCTAGAGGGCTTTCCATTGATTGCTCACCTCCTCTTCAATCCAATCTTGCAAAAGTATTACCCGATAGATAAGATTGGTTACCGTCAAATGGATGAAACTTGATAACCATCCTCATAATCCATGGTACAATTGAATCTCTCATATCTTCCATTTGGGAGAAAGGTGAGAAAGAGCCGGTAGCACAGGTGGTTATTATGATGAATTAATTCTACATGGTGTAAAATAAAAGTCTGTTTCCCCAGTACAAGTTGGTGTAGAATTCAAAAATAATTCGTTGATAATTTGTATTAGTCAAAGGTTGTGGTGGAGACATTGATTAGTATTGAAATGTGAATTGGTTCTTCCTTGGTGGGACTTGTGCAGTGGACCTTCAATGAACTTGATTAGTACTACTATTGGTATTGAAATTTGGCGTGGATCTTCAAAGTCAAGTCGTCATTTACTGGACTATTTTTTTTTTTTTTTTGAAAATAGGCAATGCATTTGCCGTGCTTTGGGGTCATTTGAGTGGGGACTGCCGTTCACTTTGATTGGCATTGGCATTTGACCGTCGCTTTCCTTACTTGCCATGGTCATTTCTTCTCATTTGAATGTTGTCCACAAGTGGATGCTTGTGCAAATATATATTTTTTTAATTTATAAATTCTTTTTAATGAAAAAAATTTATAACTTTATGGCATAGATTAAGAATATAAAATAGTGTTTATCCACCTTACATCCTAAAAATTAGGAGAAAAATCATCCCAAAACTATATCGTTTCAATAAATACCCATTGAAAAAGACAAAAATACTTTATTTTTAAAACATGAATTAAAGTGTTTTTTGTCATTCCTTATAGTATTTTATTAAAACTACTTAGTTTTAGAATAATTTTTCTTTTAATATTTAGAAGGTAAGACGAATAAATACTGATTTCTTAAGAATATATTATATAATAAGTCCAATGGTTGAATCTACTAATATATAAGTATCATATTGTAAGTAACATCTAGAGTTCAAGTGTTTGGGTTAACACTCAAGAATATTAATTTATATTAATTTTTTAATACATCAAGTTGATATGAATGATATGCCTTTAAAATTGCATGAGAAATGATTAATTTTAAAGTACACAAAAGTAAATGTCTAATTAGTTTTTTTGTTATAAAAGTAAACAATAGTTTTAAAACTAATACTATCTAAATAGTTTTGTTTAAACAGTTGATAAAATTAAGGAGATAGGAGATTTAACCAAATTTTTATTTAAAAATTTGATATGAAGAATTATTACTCATATAATATGACATAACTCACCATTGTCAAACCCCTTCTCCACCTATTTAGAATTTGAAAAAAAAGAAGACTTCCAACATAAACATTCAAATTTCACCAAAAAAATAATGATCAAATGTTTCAAGTTTTTAATCACTGAAGCATTTGCTAAAAAGCCTCTAATCTTTCATTTCCATTTGTTTACACCCCCAAATGTCTTGATTTCATTAAAAAAAGTGCCTATGTCATAACTAGACAACGTAAAGAATGGAGGTTATTATGGATTCGGATACATGAAGGAGATAATTTTTCTCTTTGGTTTCTATTAAAATGTCATCGTAGTAATGCAATTCCTTCATCTGTATAGTTTTGGATTTCTAATTTTATTGTAAAAGGTAATTTTTATGACATGAAATGCAAGATGATGATATTCAAATAGAAAAATGTAATTTGTCATCCACATCAATGCCAACAAAACTGAACTTGAACAGCTTCTTAAATTATTTTATCTTTAAAAAAGACATTAAACAATATTAAGTAGATATTAGTATGCTACATATATAGAACCTTCTTTATTTTTTCTTTATTTTTCCTCTATCCCCACATTTCTCTTGTTTTTAAAAAATTCAATGCTAGCAAAGAACATCCAAAAAAAAAAAAAAAA